TCATGGGGGCGCCAATTCGTCCCATTCTTCAGATGTATGTGAGTTTCAAACCTTTAAATATTCTCCATAGCAAATTGATGTAAATTACGCCCCAACCTCTTAATTTCGATGACTGACAATAATGTTCTCTGTCGGGTGTCTTTGTGGGTCTGGGGGAATCGCTCTATTTGGAGCGACAGGGATCGATTCCTTCATTCCTTTCTAGATTCTGGCAAGAGGCAAGGAGGGAAAGTGCACCCTCATGCCGCGGAATGGAGTTGACACGCAGAAGCTGTTCGCTGCTGCATGTCACATGCCTGAAGCCCTAAATCCTAAACTTTCAGCTTCTCATACCCAACCTAGAGCCCTCAAAAGCAATTTAGCCCCACCTGGCTGCTGCAGCCAGGCTGAAGAAAAGATGAAGAAGCAAAAGGACACCCAGCGCTGCTGCTTGCACGCTTCATGGTCAAACCTGCGGTGCATTCCGGGATGGAGGTTCGGGGCTAGGGGCTTAGATAAGTTTAGATGTTGATAAGGGCATTATCTAGGGGTTATGTTAGTATCATCCTGGGTTAGAAGGTGTTGCTTTTAGCAGAGACGGCTCTGACGGCCACAAGGTTAATAAATAGGGGTAACGTGTCAAATCATCAGGTGGGAGCCAGACCTGCCGGAACAGCTTTCGTGTCTGGGGGGTTATTACACAAGCTTTGCACTGCAAAATTGGGACACAGGATGTAACCCCGTCTTGACTCGTTAGAGCCTGACGGCCTGGTAAATCTAACTTTGACGCCTACAGCCTAAGCGTTTGGAGTTTTGCGTTTGGGGTTTAAGGGTTGGCTTTATGGCTTCAATTCCCAGGGTAGGGCCTAGACGCCTAAGACCATGTATTTAACATCAGGCTCCTTCAAAATGCAAGACCCTTTTGAAAAAGACCCTGAGCCCTGTACTCACAAAGGCAGCGCCTCTCCACGCCCTGCATGTGAAGCAGCATGGAACCATCCTAAAACCTAAAAGCTCAAAAACCACCCCAAAGACTCTGACGCCCTCTGTCCCTTAAAAGCCTCGAACCCTCTCCAGGGCTTCAAAGACATGCTGTTAGGAGTTGAAATTGAAGGTTTAACTTTTAACGTTCAGAGGAAATGGAGGCAGCTGACAAGGAGCGCCTGTATCAGGCAAGTCTGGGGTTGTGCTTTAGGGTTCTGACGGGTAGACATAATGTTGGCCACGGCTTATGTCAGTGAGTTTTCGCATGCCTTTTGGCATTTCATTGCGGCATGCTTTAGACCGTACGAGCGGTCAGTCTGGGGTGCGGAGTGGAAGCACAGTTCGTATTTGGGATTAGAAGCATGCCTTCTGCCTTTAAATGGCCAGCTTAGTAAAGCTTAAGGGTTTAGGATTTAGGGGTTTGGAATGAGAATAGCCTTAATTCTCCCAACAGATTACAACTGACCTCAGCATGGAATATACCTTTGCGGGATTAGTGCAAGTGTCTTATCCGGTCTTGTGGGAGCTTCGGGCGGATCAAGAAATATGTAATTAGGGTTGAATAAGTTTTCTTTCAGCCTTCCTATCCAAAGCTCTTACTCAGAGGGACGTGGAGCTGCAGGTAAGTTAAGTAGCTTAATCCTGTGAAGTGCAGGGATGGCGTATGGCCTTGTAGAAGGTCAATACATAGAACCCCAAATATAGCGATGGAGTATTGGTGACCCCAATCCGGCATGGCGCTCCTCAGCTGGCGTTTGTACAGTAGTAAGAAGGGATCCACCAGTTAGTGTTGAGGCTTCAGGGATTTTAGGACTTGTTTCCGCTAGACGTCTTATTTTTACGAGGAAATCCCACGCGCCTGAAGCACGGCAAAATGATAGTAGAATGTAGAACTTCATCAGTCCGAATGAACAAGCAAAGCCATCAGCATGTTTTTCATATAATGACGGAGTCCGCCATGTGCTGCCCCAAAATGAGACCCTGATCATTTGGTGAGCCCGTGTAAGAACTAACACTTCTGAGAAGCATCTCACTGACCAGGTGAACTGGGGTATGGCCGAAGATGCAGTGGAAACCAACACAGAGGAGAGATGCTAGGGCATTTGTGCGGTCTACTCGTTAAGTGTACCTTACATTTTTTGGCAGACTCTCGTTCTCACACTCTCTCTCTCTCTCTCTCTCTCTCTGTCTCTTTCGCTCGCTCGCGAACGATTTGAGGGTGCAGTTTTCGGGTTTAGGGTTTCTGAGGCTGATGTCTCAAGTTTGGACTTCTCTTTGGCAGTGCTGCATATGAGCTCTATCGAGGCTGCGACTGACGGATTCGGGTCGGAGGCCTATAGCGTTCAGGAAATCCCAGGTGGCTTCCTGTACGCCCTAGATTTCAAAAGCGTGACCGTTACTTCAAAACTGGTAAATCCTTAGGACCAACGGTTCATGTTTCATTCCAGGAACCCGCTGAAGTTGCGATTTTCTCCGTGATTCTCAAATTTGTGGATCCAGTCTGGGCTTCTCTCAGGCCTTCTGTTCGGCTAAATGATTTCTGGACTGTCCCCAAGACTAGGGTGAAGCTTTTTGCCCCTGTATGGGTTCTATGTTAGTTTGGGAGAGGCCCTTGCCGGCCCTCTTGCGCTTTCCGCAAGGGCTAGTTGAAACTTAGAGCCCACTAGCCCGTCTGCAGATGTTCAACCAGCCGGGCGAAGGGATGTACTGATCGGAGAGCTATTAAAGTGACCAGGACACGACTTACAAGCCTCTCCCAGCTTTCCCAGCTAGTGATTGACCGGAAATTCGCGCGAAGGAGCTGCATGATGATGCGAAGAAGCTGCTCGATGTTGCGGACTCGGTTTGACGTTTTGGAGCGGATGCAGGAAGTTAAAGGGCCTGGAGAGTAGTGCGGCCATGCACTGAAATATTCCAACGCGTGCCGCAGGCTTCGTGCAGGCTACATGCAGGGATGAAAAACGGCAGCTCCGATCCCTTATCTAGATGCACACCCTGAACCCTACAGTCCTAGACCCCATACTATACAAGCCTCTAAGCGTAAGCAATGGTACCAATAGGCTTTTCTCGGGGTAGTCGTCATCTGAGCAAGAAATGAGCGATTTTTGTAATGCCGCCATTATTCCTACTAAGAGTTTTGTCTGGCGTGGGATTGAACACAGAAAGAGTTGAAGCCTTGTTACAGTTTGACTTCATCCGGTTCGAAAATTGGCAACACGTTTCCCGCGACCCAAACTCCCAAACCGCGTGAGGATTCTGGCATCCCCAACCCTACTGTTCGACTCCCCTGCCCGTGTCACACTTGATTTCTTCACAGGGCTAGGCCTGAACCTCATCTGAGGCCAATGGTAAGCTCGACTTGGACAAAGTCCGGGAGCTACAGTTGACGCAGAAGCAGGACCTCAGGGGTTGGGATTAGAGGCACCCTTCAATTCGAGTAAGGGGGTGAGCAGCATCTGGGGGTGAGCAGCATCTGTTTTCTTGACCCTGCTGCAATTCGCTCTGTCTGGATTTGGGTGGTTTGGGGTCCAGGGTCATGAGGTTTTTGGAGGGTTTGAGGGAAATGTCGCACACTGAGCCCGAACCCTGAACCCTGACCAGATCAATAGACCCTCACGCCCCAAGCTTTGGGAGCCGTCACTGGTGAGGCTGGCTCGGGGTAGGAGTTATGCCTGACCAACACCCCCATCCTATCGCTATCTCCCAAAAAAAACTAACTGACGCATTCAACTCTACACCTTAAAGTCCTAAGTCCATGATACACCCTCTTCAGCGGCATGTTCTTGTGCATTGGCTTAGAAGCAGGCTCTGCATTCTAGTTGCTGAGCTCTGGCAAAGCCCAAGAGTGATACCTGCATAATATTTGTACATCCTCCTGGAGCCCTGAAGCGTTCGTAGTATGCAGTTCCCTGCTCGGGCTCCAAACCTTCGGCTGTTCACGCCAGATGCTGAGCCCCAGCCAGAATTCCATCTTACCGCCCATGATACCTACACAGTCTTCGGACTCCCTAGACCAAGCCCTGAAACCCAAACTCCTGATTACCCCATAAACCCTTAAGCCTAAACGGCCCGAAAGCTACGCCCGATGCCCCGCGAGGATGCAATGGTCCAGAAGTTAGATCAGAAGCAGCGGAAGATTGCCAACTTGTTCCGGCGGTAGCCTTGGAAGTTATGTGTTTTCGGTTTGAGCGATGGGGTAGGTCCTCGGACCTGGGACAGAGGGTCCAGAACATTTGTGTTGTTGAGCTTCAGATCTTGGATTCGAAGCTGACGGCCCAAGTTTGAGTTGCCAACTGTTCGCTACAACGACTTTTTGGAACCGGTGCGAGGAATATTGCCTTTCACTGAAGAACACCTTTCGAAATGTCGTAATGCTTGTCGATGCGCCGCACTTAAACTCTAAACCCTAAACCGCAAGGTGGTCTACGGTCCTGGATGTTGTATTTGGTGTTCTGGGTTGTTGGGTGGGTGAGACTGGAGAAAGAATACCTTCAGGCATGAACCCTCAAAACTGAACCTTGAATCTTATCTTACGCCTTAGGGTCACTTGACATTCTCCGATGGGGGCCAATGTACGGAGTCTTCTTAAGGCTTTACTTAAACAAAGGGGTTTAGCCGCTAGAACTATGCAACGATTCAGGCTTCAGACGGCTTCAGGCTTTAGCGCTTTGAGGTATAGAGGTGTAGGGGGTGCGGATTGTATAGTTTAGGGATTTAAGGCTAAAACAGCACAGGCCCTGGGCGGTCATCTATCTGTGAGCGCCATCATGAAAAAACGTGAATTCACCATTCTTCTAGTGCATAGGATTCCAATGAGCATTTCTCTTGCAGCTTTGTGGAGCTTAGACGATGGTTATTATTATGTGCCCCAGCTTCAGGGGTAGGGGCATGTGTCATGCCCCGTGCCTACCAAAGTGAAACGTCCCAAGATACGTTCCTCTCTGCCATCCTTTCATCCGTGACCTTTCGAAAGTCTAGCGTCTCCAAATCTAAGCCCTAAACCCGCAGCCTCGGATTCTGTTGTTCCGTTGGCTTGAAACTGGACCGGATCGCTTTGGCCATTGTGAGCGTCGGAAGCTGGGGTAAGCGGCACGAAGTTAAGGGCTTACGATGCCCTAACCGTGTCAGCCCAAACCTCAGTGAGAGGGCAAGTCAAAAGCAGGGGCCAAAGCGATGATTTTTAGGATCACCTTTGGTCTGAGCTCGGCTCGCCCCACGCCCTGCCCACCTCAAAGTGGCTGCGCAGGGAAAAGCAGCGGCAAGAGGACTTGGGCAGTTGGTTTTCAGAGGGTTCAGTGTCGAGAGTCCTGGGTTTGTTCAAGGTGAAGGTCAGGATAATGGCGTCTGTGGTATTACTAGTGCGTATGTCGTTCTGGTGGAGAGTGAAAGTTAGGCAAGATTTAAGGTTAGCATTAGCAGCTCATCTCTTTGGGGCGGCATGAACTCGTGGCAAGCCTCACACCTCAATTCGGGATCCCAAGGATTCACGCCACTGCATGCAGGCTCATCACTCCTCGCCCTTCATCTCGAGCAACATCAAGAAGATGGTTTGGAATCATGGCGCTACACCCGAGCCAATTCATGAGCCAATCATGATCAACAGCCTTTCTTTCTCGACATCAGTCCTGACCAACTCCGCCCTGACCAGCCCCAGTCTCTACACAGTTGGAATTACAGAAGCCCTGAACCCTAAATCCCGCACTGTGGAGGAGCCTCTGCTCATCATGGCTGCTTCTCCCCAATTCATATCATCAGAACCAGTTTCGCAATCCAGGCAGAGGGTTGTGCGAGGCACTCACATGTATGGTTTCCAATTTTTAGTACTGCAAGCTACTAGCATGTCGGAGGAAGAGCTCGCGTTGCTATATAACCTTTGCAGACTTGATAACTTACCATGCACGTCTTTCGTGGGCTCATCGTAGGCAGAACTGTCTTACAACGGAACGTGACGCTCCATGTGCAGCAGCCCCATGTGCTTTGGACGTGACGGGTTCATTCATGCCACAAGCTTGGAAGACAAGCCTAGATGTCACCTGAAAAATTTAGTCCCGAAGCCTCAGACGCAACTTTGACCCCCATAAGCCGCAACATAGACAAGCCAATCCAGCAAGAGTTGTGTACTCGCCGTAAAATGGCACAGCCTTCTAGCACACCCCAAGCCCTGCATCCTACCTCAAGGCTTCAATCTATAAAGCCCAGAGGCCTGAACTCTTCAGCTCTCCATGTATCTTCCATCACTACCTCTCTGCCCCTGAGGACCAGGCTGCCCATCGAGCACAAAAAAAGGCCCAGGCCAATCTGGACATCGACGATGCTGGGCCTGGCAGTGGCAGGTTCACGCTTGTTCAGCATTTAGGCGTGTAGATTGGTTCAGGGTGAGGGTTGGATTCCGCACTTGTCCACCTCGGCACTCATGCTGGGCAGAGGTGGTATGGTAAGGGCGGGTGCGGGCTGGGTGGGGAAGGGCCAGGATAGTGTGGACAAAGATGGGGGGAGTGCGAGGAGATTGGCCAGAGCCATCAAATCTCCATGGTACTTAGTAGGAAGTGCAGACTTCTGAATTCTTACTCAGGTTCTTTGAAGGGATTGAGAGATTTTCAAGAGCATTGACGTTTGGCTCCTGGGCAATATCGTGTGAAATTTTCACCCCTAATCCCAACGAGCTTCCAGGGAGAATCAATCTTTGCTTGGGTCTAGAGTCTTTTCGGGTGGGTTACATAGGGATTATGCAGTCAGAGCACGGGGCTGGAGTTTTGATTCCTGTCGCAAAAGAACAGTGGCTGCTCTGATCAGCTTTGCGGGGCTGATGGGTTTTTGCGCGTCGCCGCGTCCCTGGTTCTGTGCTTGTGCTAATCGCCTGGGGGCATGCCTTTAGCTTTAGCTGCTGTCAGTCGGGGTACTGCAAGGTGTTTCTGCTCTGACGGCTGTCTTGGCACTGCCAATTTGCATGGTAGACCTCACCTGACTTCAGAGTTCTATGCTGCTTTTGACTAGTTTATTCTATGGATGGACCAGGATACGCCTCTTTGAAGCCACCCCCCGCCGCTCGGGACACCCTACACCTTGCGGCCTAAACCCCAAACCAAAGCCTAAACCCTGCACCTTCAACCAACCCCAAATCAAACCTTTTCCCTGAGCATCGCTGGGCATCCTTCTGCGTCCCCAGAATACTCCCGTTTTGAGTGAGACACTCGCATATCCAAGGAGCTGCCGGACAGCGGCATGGGCACTCAGAACATGGAGCGCCTTCAAAAGCTGGAGGAGAAGTCAGGGGCCCTGGCTGTTTCGCGAATTTAAGGGTGGAGGGGCGGAGCGCAGTAGGGGGCTTAGGGTATACCATTCATTGGTTTAGGGGTTTAGGGATCTTGGATTAAGGCTTTGAGAGGAAGTTCAGCCTCTGGAGCCAGCCTGTATCCTGGACGCCCAAAGTAGCAGTAGTAAATTAGGACGGTGCCTGGGACTGTAGCTTCAGATCGCAACTGTTCAGATTTTCGCCTGAAGTTGCCAGGGTTAGGATTCAGGGTTTGTGGGCATATTGGCTCTGAAGCTATAGGAGTTGGCAAGGTAGATTGGAGGGTGCCATGATTCCTGGCGTAATCGCTTGCATTATGGGTACGGATGTTCAAGAACTTTTCGACCCATAAGTTGCCCAAGGCGCCAAGCCCCAAACCCTGAGCCTGCATTTGCAAACCCTAGGACCGCAACGCCGATCCCTAAACTCCGCACCTTGATCCATGGAACAGGATGCAGTTTGGGCTTTGAGGTTCTCAGCAGAGGGGGTGCGGGCCGATGGAATCCAGGGTAGTTTGGATGTTGCTCCAGTACGCTAACGTCTGGAGAAAGTAGTCAACATTCTATGGATATGCAGATAAAGCTAGTAAAATTTACTTATTGACTTAGTGAAGACAGTTAATGGGTTGGGACAGTACCTGCAGGATGCTGACTGCACACGCTTCACCTCGGGGCACCCGCCAACCTTTTTTGATCCCTTCGCAGCCTGAGCTAAGCCGGTGCCAAGGATCCAGAAGAGCGAGGAAGACTTCGCAGCTCAGGTCCGTTTCCTTATTCAAGCCTCCAAGGACCTTCCTTTGACCTTGAGCTTTCTTCTTTTCATGGAACTCATATTGTTTCAGGCTTCCATCTCATATTCAGGCCCCATAGTACGTAGAAGACTATGTACAAAACAAGTTGGGCCTGTCAAGCTAGGTCTCTATTCAAGATGTACGTGAAGAGACTTTCTCAGCGGCAAATCGCGAAGACATGTAATCCTCTCTCTTAAGCCAGTCCCCACCTCCTGAGCATGAGGCAACCTTCCTGTACGTAATATGGAATGCTATAATATTGAGAATTTTTGCTTCAAGGGGTTGGGAGGGTTTTCTTGGTAGGGGAGGGGATTCCTGAAGGGGGAATGAGGCCAAGACAGTCATTGATAAGGTGGATACCAAAAATCCTGCATGACCGAAAGTACCCTAGACCTAGGGACTCATGGGGTTAAAGTATGATCAAGTCATGGAAAATTTTCAGTATCAACCGTAACACGCCAAAAAATGCCGCGACTCCCTCCTTGCCACCAATAGGGATCACATCGTTTTTGTTCGCTGTTTTTTCTTTAGGCTGTTCACACGGCATCCACATGTTAGATTGGCTGCCGCATAGAACTCTACCTCACAGAGAGTGGTTTCATCACCTTCTCTGCTATAAAAAACCGACCGAATCTGGAATTGTCATCATGTATTGTAAACTTTTTGTATATCCGTACTTCTGCTAAACGCATTCTAGTTCCTCAATCGCAGCCCGGTCAGTGGCATGCTGTGTGGAGCAGTGGCACGTACTCAACCATACATCCGCCCTACATCCTAGACCCAAAGCTCCACCCTAAGTACAAGGCAAGGCCCGGACAACCAAAAATGTGATAGGCGCTGTAATTGAATGGCAAGTCGACTTGAGTATCAAGGCGTCATGACCAGCATCTTCAACGCAGCACCTTGCACAATTCAAGATCTCTGGGTTTGGGGCTGGGACTGCTTTTAATAAGCCCAATATAGTACCCCAATACGAGCCCAGAGACCCTGCGTATACCATATGCCCCTGGTTCATCCTGGTTCCCTACAAGTAGGTTTTCCAACGCAAGCCTTACACGTTGAACCTGCAAGACCACAAATCCAATCTTGACCCTCAACTATACTTAAAAGATCCGGTCTTGCATAGGTGGTGAAGGAAGGATATGAAGTAGCCCAACTTTAAAGCCTTCAAAGCGGGAACAGTCAGTCTGATTGAAGACATGACAAATCATACCCTATTGAACTAAAGCATGTTATGTTCGAAGCATGACTACTTTACGGCCTCTTGCTCGTCCTTAACCCATATTCCATTGTGGCCGTCGGTTGGAGTCTGCGAATGCGTGTCCCTTGTAGGCCGACACACTGTTCGTCTCCCTTGGCATGAAGCGTGCGCGGGCCCTGGCTCCTTCTTGCATTTGCGGCGCGAGACTAAAGCAAAACAAGCGATGATGCTGATGATGATGATGATGATGGTAATGATGATGATGATGACGGCAGTAGATTATAGCAGCCATAGGAGCTGAAGGAGTAGTAGTAGCTGCAGAAGGACATGCAGTGGTGCTATCAGGAGAAGCAGCAGCAGCAGCGGCATCAGCAGCGGTGGTGGTAGCGATCGGAACAAAGGCACCTGGATCCCGCACACAAGACCCTCAACCATCAGCCTTCACCCAAAACCCTGAGCCTCTGATCCTTGCTGAGGCTGGCTTCAGCGAGCGTGTGAGCAAGCGGACAGCTGCCCTCCGTCCGAACGCAGAGGGTTCGAGGTTTGGGGGTTTAGGGTGTAGGCGTATGGGAAATCTTCACGTTCAGGAATACTCAGCTGGAGTCGAGGGTTTCCCGTCAGCCCCAGTTTGGGTCTGTGCAGAACGCTTCTTGTCGACCCAAGATGACGGATTTGGACGTCGCTTCCTGACTACAGCAGGGGGTCTGTCCAGGGTATCGGGATGAGGCTCAGGGGCTAGGATTCCCAGTCTAAGCTTTCATCCAGGAAGGTTGTAGCAGGGGTGTTTGGGATCACAATAATCTGCAGTCACACAGGCCTTCACTCAGGAAGCTCGACTCCTGCGCTTATAGGCCTTGTGTGGGACCAAACACCGTTTTGCAAGCAAGTGTTGGGGATGAATCCTGCATACAGGTATAGGTATAGGATGGCATAGGCTTGTCACAGCACCTGACCTCAACTGAAATGATGGACCCCACAGCCCCTAACCCGCAATCGAGAGGCTAGTATACATACTCCGCTGTCTGAAGCCAAGTGTGGTATCTTCTTCAGGCGCTCTACGACACTCGCGATGACGAGAGCGACGACGAATTCTTTGACCGTGCGGTCACAATCTCAGACGCACCCAAGACTCTTTAAAAGAATGTTCGTCCTATCGTAGCCTAAATCTGCGGAGCGATCCAGAAGTTGTTCTTGGCAGCCATGTGTCCTGCAGCACGCCTGGAATTGCACCGCTGGAAGGATCCTGGTCTCCTTGCATTTTAAGCACTTCTTTTGGGACCTTGCCTATAAATAGACCTTTTGCCCCTGGTCAAAAGCGCAGTTTCCGATGCCTAGGCCCCACTCCCCTAAGTGACACGTGAGGCTGTCCAGAAGCCCTCTGCCCAAAAGGTCGAGGAGGCACGCGTGATCCGTTCGATCATACTTTCAACCATAAAGCCTCAGCCCCAATCCCTAAAGTTTAGGATTTTCAGGTGGAAAAAGACCAAACCAACCATGCCCTTGCAGCCGGGGCTCGCACGCAGTCCCTGGCCACTGGTTACGCATTTCACCCTCTGCAAGGGCAGGGGGTTGTATTTCAATGGATTATCGCCAGGGCTTGGGCCTCAACCCTAATTAATGCCGCGAACCCTAAGCCTACCTTGCAACCCCAAACAAATTATGAGAAGGTCATAGGGTTTGTCGCTCGTTTCGTTTCAGTCTTCTAAACCGCAAATCCTTGATCCCACTCAAACTAATTAAGATCCGCTAAGAAAACAACACAGAAGCAAGGGTCGGAGGCCCTCGCCCTCGGCATATGATTTCATGGTCAGTTTCAACTAGTCCACTAGTGACTAGTCCAGTGCGGTTTTAGGGTTGAGAGACCGGCATGCTTGGCTGTACGCAGCATGCCCTGAACGAGAGCCACCAAAAAGGGCGTCTCCTGTTTAGAAATCCACCCTGTCAGCCCGACCTCTTTCAGCCCCAAGTTTCTTGCAACTTTGACGGAGCAGCTGTCATTGATACACGCACCAGCATCCCAAGAGAAGTCCACAAACAGCAGTACGTTCAAATTCAGGCCCTGTAAACTTCGGGGTTTTCGCGTTTCGCGTAAACCCAAGGGTCCCCTGATCTTGAAGCCACCAAACATGCTGCCAAACCAGAACGACACAAACCCCACCTTACTCTAAGCCAACCTTGCCAACACCTAAGCAGGCAGACATTCCCTCTGAGCTCATGGGACTCCCTGTGTGGGGAGCTCGTTCTCTCCGCTTTGTGGGCCGTAGGGCCGTAGGGTTTCAAGTAACAGCCGTTGTAATTATTAGAGAAGGGTGTTGGAGTCCGTGTTTCGCGTTGAGGATTCTGGGGCCACAGTAAGTATTAGACAAGAGAATCAAATGGAACAGGAAATAGACATGAAATGGAAGCTGACATCGCATAGTGGTTCGTGGAGGGATCCATGTGCAGTGGCCTAAACATGCACAACAGGCTGTTCGAGTATGTAATGCTACAATTGTGTGAACGGCTAAGCAAAACAATGTAAGCAGCTCTTTTTTTTTTTTTTTTTTTTTT